TGCATTGCACTTAACCTCCCGAGTTGATCACATTTTTGAGGAAAATTTGATTGTATGACGGGACGTGAATTACTTGTTATGGTATTACCACAGAGCCACTGTTGTAGTAGAAAATCTTTTACACTTTAACTCTGCTCGCTGTATGCGAATGATTATGTACTTTAACGGTTTTTCTCCATAGTATTTCAGAACAGATTGGTGATACTTTTAATCGATACTTTTGTTTTCAGGACCATGTGCAACCCATACATGCGAATCGACCTGTGACCTGGGTCTGCCCCGCCATTTCGTTCGGGTGCTCCGCCAAATCGGTGTTCTCTTGATTGGTTGCCCCGTCGATTTTTGTCCTATCATCTGTTGTACAGTTTCGTTAGTTTCTGTGGCTCATCCTGATTATCACCGCTGAACATCTACAATGCAACCCTGTCCGAATGTGTCCAAACCAGCCAGTTTGAGGCCACCAAGTTCAGTGAGCTTATTGGCCGAACAATTAAAATCATCTAGTCTGAATGAAGCGAACCCCGGGGTCGGTTCCGTTTGGTGGTCTCAGTCTCATGCAGACGGTTTTGTCGGTGTGCTGGCCGATGCCCCGGTTCCCATGTCCTGTGATGTATGCGACTCGGGGACCGTGCACGAGCACCCGAGGTCGCATGGGAATGGTCGTTGTTGTGTACTGTGCATGTCCAGTATCGGTGGTTCGGAACTGCCGTTACGTCCCGGTGATACAAACAGCAGCACACGACCGACCAACTTAGTCCCGCGTGTTCCCGCCGCTCTGAGCACGAATGGCACAACTGGAGAACTATTTGGCACTAGTCCGTATGCACCAAGCTCGGTGTCCAGTCAGGGTCAGTCGGAACCGGAAGAAGAGGAAATGGATTCAGTGAGTTCCGTGCATTCGGTTTTGGTCGACCACAGGCCTGTTCACGGGTTTGTGCTTCCATCTTACCCGTGCTATCTCTTTTCTTATTGCAATCCCACGGTGTGTTTCTTCGGATAGCGTTTTTTGGTTTGGTTAATAATGGTAGTTTGATCTCGTGGCTATTCAGTACGTCGTACACGTGCGTTTGTGTGTTATGTGAGTCACTCGCATCAAACTGCATGGTGGCAGGAGCTCTGGTCTTATCCGAGGTCATATTTGAAGGGATTTACTAACGAATACTTACATAGTTCCCGGGTTTGTTTCTCACCTGCACTGACGTTGACTCAGATTAAACACATAGCAATCGGTTATTAATGGTGAGAGTGTGAAAGACTGCTTCGTATCAATCTACCTGCTTGAACTCTCACCGCGCCAATGGTTTGTGATAAGTTTTCTATGCGATTTGGTGGCTGCACAAAAAGGAATGCAAACAACTTGATATTATCAAGCTTTCCCACCCAGCTGTTCTTCTTGACGGTCCGAGAGAGTTATCGGCGAGATTATCTACTTTCCCATAAAGTTAATGTAAAACAGCACTACAATTATCCAAAACTAGATGCACTCAGCCGGCTGTTAGACGCTTAGGTCTCCCTGGCTCTCCGAGAATTCTCGACGCACGTCGCGCACTCCTGGTTGACGAAGTAGAACAAACGTGTTCTATCTTTGACACACGGGATCACAAAGAGATAAAAACCGTGAAGCCTAGTGGACGCTACATGCAAAACCGATGCTATTGCCTTGTGCGGTAACAATACATAAGCGACGCGAGAAACACTAAGCCGTTGTCGGTTGAAGCTGCTTGATATGGCTTGTGCTTTACCCTTTCAAAGTGCTGCTGCAAGATATATATATATATATATATATAATACTCAGACGTTCGTGCCGCATACAAAAATACTGTTTGGTAACCCCCCTTCCCCCAATACACAGACTGTAGCCGAATTGCTGATTGTTCGGCTTTTTACAACCCCTGGTTACTTCGGTGCCGTATCTGTAAAGATTGGTGCAACCATGTATTCTGTTAATGATAGTCCAAGCTGTTGCATTTCTGGTCGATTTCATTTTGAAAAATATTGATTATTGATCGACGCGTTTTTTCTTCATCAGTCGTTCAACTGAAGTGCCGCATCTTCGCGATTCACAATTATGTATGAACTTCCCCCCATCCGTGGTGGTGATATCTAAATGTGCACAATCAAGTTGATGGGTTTTTCTGTCTGTATGTGCGTGTGTGCGTGCGTGCATGTATCTACTCAAACGGGTTCCTAGCATTCTTACTTCCGTTCTCGATCCGCTATTTTTGGTGTACTCTTTGTCAATAGACTTCACCAACTCGCACACACACACGCATGGGCTATTGGATTCATTTCCTATTCAACTGTGAACGAACCAACATCCATGTGTATTTGAGGAAGTGCTTGAACTAAAGTGCGTGTGTACCTCTATGTCACTTTTTAAATGTGTACGTTTGGCTTTAATCCATGAACGAACGAGCCTCAATTGTCTTCACCTCATACAAATGTAAAAGAAGGAAGTGGTTAGCGGAGAAAGTATTGACTCGGTTCACCGGAGATGAGCGAAACCTTCGGAACAGAAAAAGAACTTCAAGTTTTGGCTACGAGCCAACTCCCGTATGTTTTATTGTGCATTTGGGATAGATCATGCTTGATACGCATCCAGTTCAATTATGTGAGAATTCATAATTAAAATCATCATCATTTGTCGTTGTGTTTGTGTAACCATCGGACTAATGTTGCTAACACGAAAGTTGTTTGCTCCTCACAACGTGTCGTACAAGTCTCTCTCTGTCTCTTAGTTCACATGCACCTCTGTGCG